AACAGTTTGTGTCACTCGCCGGCTTTGTGCAAAAAAACTATTTCTTTATAAATTAGAAGGGAAAAGTAAAAAAGAAATTTTCCATATTTAGAATAATAAAAAAATTACTCATAATACATAATATTGTGATAAGTCATTTTTTTTCACGTAAAAATGATTCTGAAGATTTTTACGTAAAGCCATTGAATTAAATAGATTGCTTTTGCAACACTAGTCAAAGACATGAGGACAAGATTGAATTAAATAGATGGTGCTCTGAAATAGGTGATAGCAACTCTGGTAAGATATTTATGTTGTAGAATTTTCATTGGCTATTGAATCAAAGACAATTCGTTATCTTTTCGTTGCTTTTCATCTATTCTATATATTTTTTTTTATTTTTATTTATAACTGGAAAATTTGCTGCGCGGATATCGATATTAAGGATCTTCTTTTATTGTAACGTTAAATTAAAAGTTCGCTAAGCTAAAAACTACAACAGACCTTTTAGATTCAAAAGATAAATGCCCGATTTCACCAACAACCCATAACCTAGCTACCACCCTACGTATGGGGTCCCGTAGCTTAAAAGTCCCCTTAACTAGCCCATGAATTAAAATTTCGTTTTACGATCGTCTTTAAGCCCATATTTCGAGCACCTAAATTTAGGGGACCTTTTAATATTTAGGTGACACCTAATTGTCGGTGAAACAGACCACTGTCTCCTAACATCCACCTAAAACAGTGCTTAGGGGATCCTTAAAACTTAGATGACGTTGGTGAAATTGGGCAAACATGTTCAACGGACTCTCATATAAAATATTAAAGCGGTGGCTCAAATAATATCGTCATACTAAGTAGTCTTCTATATTATTTGTTTTAAGTCTACACCATTATAGTAGCGAGTGAAATAATAAGAATTATTACTATTTTTAAAGACAGGTACATATTATATTGTCGTTGGTAATAGTAAAAATATAGTGAAGGAAAGTAGAATTTTTCTTTAAACATCTAAAACTTTCAGACAAAAAAAGGGGGGCCCCAGTTTTTAAGCTCTGTTTTGTCCACGGGAACAAAAACAAACGTTTTTTGTCTTCACGAAAGTCTGGTATTGTAAACACAGTGTGTTGTTCATATTCTACTAGAAACAATGCCACTGGAACTTTTTGCCACTTTTTTCCTATAAGTCTTGAGTTTATACCTCAAATAAAATTCTTCCATAATACAGTAGATTCAGAATACTTTTATGAAGTACAACCACCCATTTTGAACTTTACTTTCGAATTAACATCTTTTTGACTAAAATTATATATTACATCAACCATTTAACCCTATTAATATAATTTTATTATAACTTTTAAAAAAAACATGGTATATTTAATTTAAATAGCTACAAAAACGCTATATTCAATAAACTCAATTGAAACGCTGGTGGACGTGCCCGTCGCGTTACGATACCAACTAATAGAATGTTGGTTACACAATTTAGTGAATATTATTTTAATAATTTATTGACAACGCTCTTCAGCCCAAACACGTCCACTGACTGGACATAGGCCTCCCCCAAAGATTTCCACGATAACCGGTCTTGCGCCATCCGCATCCAGTGGACTCCAGCGACTTTGACCAAGTCATCGGTCCACCCCGTGTGGGAGGCCTGCCAACGCTTCGGCCTTCCGGTGCGTGGCCGCCACTCGAGAAAATTTCCGGCCCCCAAACGACCGTTCGTTCTACGAGCGATGTGCCCCGCCCACTGCCACTTGAACTTGTATATTCTACGGGCTATATCGGTGACATTGGTCTTTCCGCGTATCTCCTTATTTCTTAATTCGATCTCGCAGGGGAAACCCGAGGGGCATAGCCCTTTCCATTGCTCTCTGTGTGTGCCTTGAGCTTTCTTATGAGGCCCATCGTGAGCGGCCAAGTCCTCTGTGCCGTTATGTCATCACAATTATTTTATTGACAAACGTTATATAATATTTTTAAACACCATGAAACTTCTTGGGGTAAAATTTTTTGCAATGTTAAAATATTTGGGTTGGTATTACAGATCGTTTTTTCGAATAAAACTTGCCTGGATTAACAATTGTATTATATTTTTTTGTAAATGTACTTATCAGCACGATGAATAAAAAATATAGCTATAATATCTCTGACAGCTCGTCCAAGGAATATATATAATAATGTTAACGCAATTTCCTTGACGAGACGATATATAAATATATATATATATTATATATATATAGATATCTATATATATATATATATAGTACCTGGGCGACCGAGCCTTGCTCGGAGTGTTTGGCCAAAAAAAAAACGTTAAAAAAAAAACAAACTAAGAATTTGAATAACTACAAAAAAAACAACATTAAAAACTTTGTGTCCGATCGGGATACGAACCCAGACACCTGTGGTTGTCTCAAATTTTGCGCATTGGCCGCTTGACCATGATGCTTATATCTGAGCATGCGAAATTATCGACAATAATATTTTGCGTGGAATTATAATTAATTTATTTGAAATAATGCAAAAGGAATCATAATAATAATAAAGCTCTCATTGATTGATTCATTTATTTATTATTAAAGGCCTTAATAAACAAATTTACATAAAAAAATTTATTTAACAATTATAATTTTACCTATTCGTATATAAATTTAATTTAAAAGTATGCACAGCTTTTTATAAAAGTATTCCATTAAATTTTTATTTGGTTTAAAAGTAGCTAAGGAGCCATTTTAGTTGTACAATAAATAAAAGAATGAAAAAAAAACTAATCTAAATATTTAAATACACTTTCTTTTTAAATAAATTTAAACTATCAGAAAAATGTCTCTATCACATTGCTGAAATATAAAAATTATGAATTTAGTAACTATTTATTCACTTATAATTTTTTAACTAATAATTTTGTAATCTGGAATTAAAAATATTTTAAAAATCTTTAATATTATTTGAAAATTATATAGTTATATATATAAATTATTCATGAACAAATAAATAAACATACGTGACAGTAAATTAAATAATTCAATTGAGTAAATACTAAACATTTTACAATAATACATATAAATAAAAATTCTTTCCATACATTAATTCTGACAATAGTTATAAATTAGGTATTTAATTTCATAATAGAAAGTATTTATTTAGTAAATGTCTTTTTAATGTATAGACCCCTCTCGGTTAAAAAGCCTCCTCCAAAGTAGGTCCTGCATAGAAGCTCCTTCCGTTGGAGATTATGCTTGTATGATTGCAAAGGGGTTCTTTTCAAATTTTGTTTCCAATATACTATAATTTGTTTCTCGATATGCTCTATAAAGTTTATAATTTTATCTTTGTGTTCTTTTGATTTGCTGTAGGAAATGCTGCTTTTAATTCTAGAAGTTTTTCTGGTGAAGTATATGTATTACCTTTGTTCTTTGTATGTCTGTCTTTCTTTGGAGGGTTACAGTCGAGACTCCCCCACAGTGACGGTCTGTACTGGGGGATAAAAATGAGGAGGTGCCTACTGTGTTTTAATTATACTGTATCTTGCTTGTGTTGTTTTTAGTTCTTCATGGTTGTTATCATTTTTGTGGTTGAAAGTTAATCTTGGTTTTTTGTAATATAAAGTCTTTAACATTAGAAGGTTTGGTTTTCTTTGTATGTTGTTTAATTTGTTAGTTTTTGTTTATAATTGAAGGTAAGGCGTTTCTGAAGATACAGGCAGACTTCTGTTTATTTGAGTGTTCGGCACAAATTTCAGAATTGGGGACTTGGCCCCTAGCGGAGTGGGTGGTATTTCTGGATAAGGGACGTGATAGGGAGTCGAAATGTTAAATAAAAATTGTCCGCGAACGTATGAGTAAAAAGTTATGAGAGGACTTAAAGTTACAACATTTCCATACATTTTCATATATTTCTTTACCACCATTCGGAGTGGGTGGTATTTTTAGATAGGGGAGGTGACAGAGAGTTCAAAATATATTAAAACTATTTGGAGGGAAAGTACGAGTAAAAAGTTATTGAGACTTAAAGTTATAACATATCCTAACACATTTTCATACATTTCTTTACATAAATAAGTGATTAAAAACAGATTAAAACATACCTTTAACACCTAGTACGCATCCTTTTTTTTATGTACATTACACATTTTCACAACAATTAATGCTTTACGTATTTAATATTTTAATAATTTCACAACACAAACAAAATTGATCTTACATTTTGACCAAAAGCAAAACTGACACTTTGTTTTATATTACCGCTTAAATGACAACAGATTATATTTGATTATGTTTTTTTGCTTTTTCATGTTGGTAAAATATTAATATTAATAAAAAAATAAATAAAAAGAAAAATATTATTTTCATTTCATAAAATACATTTATGATTTTTTTTATACTGATTTAGGTAAAATCTATTGTTTTACAATTTGTACATTTAGTAAAAAAAAAACATTTTTTTATCTGTGAATATTTTTCAGTTATTATTGGCGGGTGTTCTTAGAATACCGCGAAGTTTCAGAATTTGTGACTCTGTACTATGTGTATTTTCCATTAGTTATTAGTTTTTGTAAATTTTTAGATACTTTCGTTTATTGTTTTTGTTTGTATATTATTTTTATAGTGTTAATTCGTTCATAGTGTTAGTGTAAACAATTTATAAACGTGAGTAGACTATTTTTAAAAATACTAAATGTATTATTTACTTTTGGTTTTTATTTTGCAGATCATCGTGGTTAGTTTAAGACATAGGTTATTTAGTTAGTATTCGTAATATCTTGGTTAGGTTAGGTTAGAACATTTGAAGATTATTTATTTATTATTCCTCATATCTGGGTTAGGTTAGGTTAGAAACATTTAAGATTATTTTTAATTTATTAGTCATCATATATGGGTTAGGTTAGGTTAGAACATTTCTCCGGGGGAAGAAAAAAGCCAACTCCTACCGGGCGCGTCCCCAGGTGGCGGATAGTGGGAATGCCCACCCGCCTAGGGCGGCGGGTGGTACCGTAGAAATCCGGCGCGGACCAAATGGCTTGGATGGGGGCCGCTCGTCTAGGCCTCGAGCCGAAGAGCGTTGCGGACACGGTTGGTGGGAACGCTTGGTCCCACAAACGGATGATGGGTGCCGGTTTGGGGACTGTGGTCGCAGGCCCGCATTCGGCGGAAGGGGTGGTGGCCGCGGCGGGAGCAGGAGTGACGGTATTGCGGTGCCGCACGTCTTACCGACCTCCCCAGCGGCATGGACGGGGGCGCCAACGTTTGATGGCGGACGCGGTGGGGCTGCAGGGGAAGAGGAGTGTCGGTGTTTCGTTGCCGCTCTCCTGTCCTCTGCAGCCGATTGGAGGTGGCCCACTTCGGTGGGCGGTGGTTAGGTTTAATGGGGCTGCTCCGGGTACCTCTCTGGCGTAGCAGAGTTGACTGTGGAGCAGCCCCATTGGTTTGGTGGTCTGCCTATTTAGGCAGACCTGCCGCCGGGGCGCCTTAGTAGGTATGAGCAAGCTATTCTGCGGCGTCCCATTAAGGCGGAAGGGGAGGGGAAATGTCGGGTTTAAAGTGTGGTAGTGCCGGCTCTTGCTAGCCCGGCGAGCCCCACATCACCAATGGGGGAATCAGGTGGTATGCGTTAAATGCATTTCCCGACATAAAAAAAAAAAAAAAAAAAAAAAAAAAAAAAAAAAAAAAAAAAAAAGGTTGAAACAAAACATTTAAGATTATTTATTATTATTCCTCATATCTGGGTTAGGTTAGGTTAGAACATTTAAGATTATTTATTTATTATTCCTCATATCTGGGTTAGGTTAGGTT